CGCATGGAATGATTCGATGCAGGCTTACATGATTAAGACTTCAACCGGAGGTCAAAAGTGTTTGAAATTTAACATACCCAATAGGTTCAATCTGTCACCATCATACGACTACACGTATTTTGCAGAAATATATGTTGAATCATTCACAGGCACTTGTGACTTCTTATCACTTGGAAGTGGAACTTCTGATAGATACAATGCTGCATCTTTGGCTGAAACGCACAGATGGAATAGTTTCACAACTGGTAAGTGGAATAAGATGGCACTTACCAAGAGTGGATCTAATATAACATTCTACATGAATGGTGCTGTAAACAAGACTTCAAACACAAGTACGTATGATGCTCTTAATGCTTCATCATGGCCTAATTGGGGCGATTGCAAGAGTATGTTTGTAATTGGTGGAGGTTACAATTCTTATAGATATGTAGCATATATCAAGAATGTTATGTTTTTTGACAGGGTATTAACAAGTTCTGAAATACAAGGTCTATGAGAAGAGAATACGGGAAAACAATGTTTCATCAAGAATATACGTATCTAACCTGCATAATAACAAATGGCACACAGGCTATTCTTTCAGACTATTATCCAAAGCAAAATACATCTTTAGAGGCTGATATGAATCTTATGAATAGCGATGGAAAACCATATCCATTTGCGTGCTACGATTCTTCAGGTGTAAGGGGGTATCTAATAGGTTGTGAAACTCCATATATGTCCATGGGTTACGGTAGGGTTGCATTCATCAATACATATTACAATTTCCCACTTAACAGCAGGAATACAATTAAGACAATGTTTAGCAACGGACAGCAGATTATGTATTTAAATGGAAACCCTGTTAAGACAACATCTTATAGTGGTAACTTCACAGTGAGTGTCCCATTAGGAATATTCGCATTGAACCGTGGTACTAGATTTGACCAATATTCAAAAATGAAATTATACGGATGTAAGATATGGGATGGTTCTACTCTCGTTAGGGACTACAAGCCTGTAATGCGCAATAGTGACGGAAAGGTTGGACTTCTGGATGAAGTCAACAATGTGTTTTTTACAGATGTTAACAATAGAAATTTTCAATATGAATTATGAGAAGAGAATATTCGATGGACACAGTTGTTGAAGACAATTCCGTACTTAACGTACAATTGAATGGCAATCCCGCTGACAGTAGCCCAGTCAAGCACCAATACATAGTTGTAGGTGGCAGCCCGCAATATGTGGATTCGTCCTATCTTCGTGGCACACCTGATGTTGGTTTGAAATATAAGTTGCAAAAGTATGCAGATATTGGGAATTGGGTTGTTAGAACCCGCATATATCCAACTGCATACGCAGAAAATGGAGTGTCTAAAATATTCTCTTCCGAATATATGTCATCCGTTAGTAGATTTGCATTTATAGATTTGGGGCTTGACATCAATGGTAAATTACGTATGGAGAATAGATAGTCCAACGGTTCAACAAACGTGTATTCCGCCACAAGTCCTAACGCATTATCTTTAAACACATGGCATGATATAGAGGTAAGCCGTATCAACGGTGTTATTAAGTTTATTGTTGACGGTGTTCAAGTGTTGAGCCAATCTTTCACGTCTAAATGTTTTATAAAAAACATTACCGATAATTTCACAATAGGAAATAGCGCTATCTATCAACAAAAAGTGAGATACTTTCACGGAATGATAGACTATCTCACCCTATGGATAGGAGAATTACCACAATAAAAAGCAAATGAATATGAATAAAGAGTTGAGAATTGAGAGAACGACATTTACTGCAGTAATACTGTTGCTGTTATCTATTGTTGTCGCATTCCATATAACTGTAAAACGTCCAGAAATTACGATCCCATCGGTGAAAGTCATGCAGTGGGGATGTGACACAACGAGTTGGCGTGGTT